TTCTGAACTAAAATAGCCTAAGAGCAAATTTTTTAAAGCAAATTTTAATGCAATTAGTTAGTTCACATATTCTTTCTGAAGGCTCATAATGGGACTCACAGTTTTGCTGCTTGAACTGAAGCTACTTGAATGTTTAATTATTATTTTTAAACAAAATTCAATACCACTGGAGTCCACTTGAGATCTTTGATAGATTATATAAAACAAAAAAGAAGTCTTGAATATTCAATAGCTTTGAAGAGGGCTATGCATATTTTGTAGTTTTGGGGCAGTGTTTCTCAGCCAAGTTCTTTAATGCATTGGAAAACAGTTCCTGAAAGAAGTGAAATACCTAAATCTGCACACATTTCTGTTTATATGAGCAAGCAAACAGAACAGGGAAAATAAGAGGTAATAAAATGACTGTCAAAGCTGAGCCAAGATTTTACTGGGTTGTAAATGAAAATCACTGTAGCAATGCCATATGAGAAAGTACATGGCTCCTCAACAAAAAAGTCTGGAAACAGTGATGTAGGGCATCTTTATATGCGTGACGTAAGCCATCCTGATACCCAAGCTGTGCCCAAACGATTAATGCCTCTGACCGGCCTAGTGAGGTGACACCTAGGGATAAAAGCTTTGGTCTCAGAAGGAATATAGCCACATTAAATCTCTCTGCATGGCACTGCGTTGTCCAGGGTGGGTAGGTCCCTACTGCCCAGGCTTCCTCCGCTCTCCCCCTTCTCATGCAGACTTTTTGGCAGGTCCAAGAGCCCCTGCAGAGGCTGCTGGGCAGCGTGGGTGGCAGGGTGGCTCTAGCCCCTGGTGCCGAGGTGCACCAGTGGTGGGCTGGGACTGGACCAGAGCCCTTCCTGCGAGGTCCTTCCACATTGGGTCCAGTCACTTCGCTTCCATCCCCCTGCTCTCTTGCCCTCCTGAGTGTGAGGGACAGCAGTCTGGTACCTCCTAGTTCCCAGTTAGTCCAAATAAATGATACATTCTATGTATTCCTTCAGGACAGAAAATTTTTCACCGAGATTATCAATCCCAATCCATAGTCAAACACGGGTAATGTGCCATTCCCCTCCTTCCCCACCACTTCTCAAGCCCCCCTCAGTCCTATGGCTTTCCTCTGCCTGCCCTGCTTGAGCTGTGAGCCCTCCCCTCCTGACGGGGACCTGGAAAAAGGAGTCGACTTCAGATGCTGGTTTCTGGGGCAGGGCTGCACTGGCCTGGCAGCGTTGGGTCTGGCCAGCCCCGGCCCAGGTCAGTGGAGCTGCAGCAGGATGAAAACAGTGCCCCCGGTTGTGGGGCGAGAGGAAGGGACTCCTCTCTTTCTCCCCACACAGGTTTTGCTGAGAAGCACACCTTCCCTCCTCCCTGGCCCTAGGCTAAGGCAGCAGCACCCTTCTGTGTGTCTGGCTCAACATCACATGGTATTTTTTGCAACCTTAGGGGTTAGAAGTGATTCCTTCCAAGAACTGGGATTGTGCCACAAGGGCTGGACTGCACTGCTGCAGGACACAGCTGGCATCAGTAAGTTCCAGGGCTGACAGTATCCTGCGTCTGTCAGCTTCTCCAGCTGCCTGGCTTTTCCTTTGTAGCACGCTAACATAGGACTTCTCATCTTCTGTGCCCTTCAGAACATTTACTCATGGCGCTGGAGCCTTACAACACATCTCTGAGGCCAGTAGGACTCCTGATCAACTCGTCCAGCTTTCACTGCATCATTTGTGCCGGAGGCAGCTGAGGCACAGGAGGGCTAGAAGACTTGAGGTTGTCCTCAGGAGAGCTAGACCCTGTCCTGCATGCAGTTTCAATTCAGTGGTATTGTTGTCATTATTACCAGCATGACACTGTTTTATTAGGAAAACTCATTACACTAGCACAGTGGAGCTGTGGATGTAGTTACAGCACAACTATACCGCTGTAGTTAGTGGGGTAACAGCAGAAATTACTAACCTTGGGCATATCTACAAGTGTGGCCCATACTCACATGGCTGGGCTGTCCTCAGCCCTTGCAGGGCTAGGATCTGAACCATTGGTGCCAGAGCTTCAGTGAGACCCTTAGGCACAGACATCAACATCCTCCGTAGGAGAGCCAGGACCTGCCTAACACAGAGGCAGTGATGATGTCAGGGTTTGCAAGCTGAGAGGCTTGCATATGCTCATGCATGAAATAATTTCATATCAACATTATAAGAATACCTACAAAGACCATGGTACACACTGGGTTTCCGTGAGCACAGTCATGTAGGTGGCTGCCACACAGCGTGGTTTGTATTCCTCTGACTAAAACCCTTAATGAGAACAATTACTAGTTTGAGGCATGCAGAGACTGGAAATTACAAGGAAGGGTGAACAAGGTTTGTGCTGCTATCACAAAGGCACCCTGAGAAATGTTAAAGCAGGCTTATTCTAATAATTATTGTGAGCATGTGAGATATTTGTACTGAAACTGAGCAACGTGTGGTTTGTCACAGTCACTGATGCAATCGACTTTCAAGGTGGCCCTACAGATCTGTATGGTTCTTTTTCTATTAATTTCTATCATAAGCAGAGTTGCATAGCCTAGATCAAATCTTTAAGGTCAGTGAAATCTTTTGTTCAGGCTTTTTTTTTTACAGGATCGTGTTCTTTGGCTTTGCTATGCAAATAAGGTTTTTGCTGGATAATCTGATTCACTTTTTGACATCTTTGAATGCTCTCTGGTCTCATGAACAAAAGATTTCTGTGACTTTATCTAACAATTTGCACATGAGCAAAGGGTCATGCAACTGTGTCCTGTATGAACTAGCAGTAAAATGTAAATAACCCATTTAACTACCAAGCCTAACTGGAAATGAAATGGCAGGGCAAACTGAGTTTAAGATAGAGCACTGGTCAAAAGGAGGCATGACGATCTGTTAAAGGCTGGCTTTGTAAGAACACAGTAGGAAAAAGAAAACAGTATTTTCATCTGTATGGTTAAGTGTATGGACAGCAAACTCTATGGTCTGAAGACAGAATTACATCAGAACCAGCTTCAGAACAAATAAAGGACACCAAAAGAAGTTAATTATGCCCCAAGGGGGAGTAAAATATCAAGGGTATCAACTTGTGCAGAAGGAAGGAAGAAAGAATCTGTGCCTGCCTACAATCAATCAGTTCACCTTTAAACCTGAAATTTTTTGAGCTTGAATAGGTTGATACTAAACACAAAGGCAACATGCTGCCATCTTAGAAGTTCAGCCTTGTGTCTTTGTCCAGTGTTCAGCAGTATCTCTTGCACGTGAAGATGCAGAGGAGTTTTCAACTGCTCTGAGCTGCCTTGTACCGCCTCGGTGGTCCACGCTGTTCTGCTGAGATCTGTCCTGGTTCTGGTTGCTCACAGACCTTTTCAAACGGTCCGGGCATCTCTGGATGTTTAACACCTGACCCGCGCCTGTTACAGTTCCACAGAGTGCAGCTTTTCAGGATTACATGTTCAAAAAAATCCTGAAGAATCTTAGATCTAAAGATGCTGGCTGGGTTGTTACATAGCCAAGTGCTTAAGCTCCGTTTTATGAGCTGGTGTGCATACATACATATGCTTCAGTCATATTGAATCGATGAGTGAAATAAAATGTGTTGCGGGGCTTAAACGTGGATCTTAACAGTGGATTTAAACACATTTTGCTGAAGCAATACCTTAGTATTGTGCATTCTCCTGTAAAATCATAGGGGGTGCTAATTATAACTGCTTGGCTTTTTTCAGTACTGAATTGTTTTAAAAAATCACTGATTCTGGTGACCACTGACAAGTACAATCTGTGTCTGCTAACAGTTCTGTTTTCTTTAGATCTATTTTCCTAAAGCTTTAGGGAGCAGATTTAGGTTCAGCATGTTCAGCTTGATTTAAATTACTGTCAGACTGATTTTACATGTACCTTGCCTCTGTGAAAGAGGCTGTACAACATGCTGGCTGAGGGGGAATCACAGATTTATAGATTTTAGAGCAAAGGGAGAACACAACATTCATCTAAACTGACTGCAGCCCTGCCCAGTCCGTAGGTTCTTTTATTTAACTCAGCAGCTTGAGGTTGACCGAGAGTGTATATTTGGAATGACATCCAGGCTTGATTTAAAGACTCCAAGTGGTGCAGAGTTTGTCACAGTCCTTAGGAGTTTGTTCTAGTGGTCAATTACCCTTTATCTGAAAAATACGCTTTCTCTGAAAAATCTGTAGCTTATTTTTTTGGAACTCTATTATAATCTTCTGTCTTCTGAAAACTGGATCTTGCTGCTTGACTTTCTCAGAAATCCTGGAGAGCGCTTTATTTTCACATTGATATTTCTTCTGATTGTTAGTTTATATTTTCACGGTTTCAGAAAAATGTCTCTATACTTACACAGTTAGGCAGACATCTGTTACACCCCAGTATTCCCATGCTAAGGGTCTGACATAATAAAAATACACCGTCTTAGAAAAGACTCAGTATGACTGCAGTGCTTTTTATTTCAGTTACTAACCACTGGCTTATGATTAAATATAATTCATGGCTGGGTTAGTAATACTGGGAAAGAAAGAGTATTCAGTATATGCTGTACTTACGCTGTAGAAATCGCAGTTGCTCCAGAGTCCCCCAAAATATTATTTGCAGTATTTTCTTGAATGAGTCAAACATGCTTTGCAAATGCCTTGAGTTCTCTGTTTTTCCATAAACAATTCCCATGGAGTCATATGGCCAGATGATAACGAAAAGGTATCTGGACCGTGCCCTTGCCCCTAGGCAAGATCAGTAATTACTGTGAGTCTGTATGATCTTCCTTTCATTCTTTTCTACTGAGAAGTTGAAATACAATCAACATGCTATTTCCACAGAGAATAAAAAATATAAAAAGAAGGCTTTTCAGAAAGCCTGAGCAGTAACCTGTGTCCTTTCTCATATGGTTCCCTTAGAAACCGAGTAAGATCAATGGCAGTCACTGTTGGTAAACCCAACCTTGATGCATTTGTCTCGCTGCTTTATGAGTAATTATTGTTCCTGTTTTTTCCTTAGGGCTCTTCCTGCAATGATGCAGTGGGTCCGAACTCAGAAACCAGGAGAAAGTGGTGTGAATATTATCACTGCAGATTTTGTAGAACTTGGTGACTTTATCAGCACAGTCATAAAGCTCAACTATGCCCTGGATGAAGGTGAAGATGACACTACTTGATAGTACTATAATATGTGTGTTGTTGTGTTATTTAGAATTCAAAAAAAAAAAAAGATTGCATTTTAAAAGAATTATCTTGTAAAACACTGATCTTCCTATAACACGCTGAAGTGTTTAAGGCTTTAGTGGGTGGGCATAGGGGAAATGTTTTAATCAGTTATGATCATTTTTTACATTTGTGTTTCATGTGAAGAGCAAAACTAAACATGTTTACAGTGTTTGATAAAAGAAGGCCATTTATGTGTTTTCCGTGAGGTACCAAATACAATTATTTGTCTTCTATGGTTATGAACAGTGCCAAGAAATTTGCTGCTTTTGGAGCAGTGGGATGTATATTGCCCTCTGCCTGCCCACAGCAGGATTCCCAACAGCGTGAGCATTACAATGGGAGACTAAGGACAGTGTATCTGGCCCGAAAATTTTAAGCTGCTACGCATCATCTATTAGGTCATTTAACTGATTGTATTTGTCAGTGAGCCTACAGGTTTAAATGCCTTTGTGAAGTAAATCCGAAGTCATGCCTCTAGCACATGCATTATCAGTGGACAGTAAACATGATCTGTTACGTAGCTTGCACAGAGCTCAGACTAAATCCTGCTTGCTTTTCATTCTCAGAATGGGGTTTTGCCCCAGGTTCCTGCCCCTGCTGTGAAGTCAGCAGATACATGGTGCTGGCCTAACTCTGTGCTAGGAGCTGCCAGTGCATATTTTCCCTTGTTCTAGCAGGAATAAAGTTAGGCCAGCTTGGAGCACCACTTTCTCACAGGGTTAATCTTACGTAAGAGCCTGATCCAACGTCCACTGAATTTAATAGGAAAATTTCTGGTGTTTGGCATGGAGTGGGCATAGGATCAGTAAATTGTGTGTAGTGTAAGGTGGGCAGGATTTTGTCCCATAATGGAAACCTGCTTTCTGCAGGACTAAAACTGCACGTGAAAAAAATAGGCGCAGTCCAAGTTTCTTTTTAAGGCAGCTACGAACACTCCTCTGCTGATAACAAAAAAAATTAGTACCAGTTTCATTAGTGAAAAAGTGCTGTACTAAAGACTGTAGTAGTTCAATTTCTAGATAATAACACTACTCTATATAGTCCTTAAATTGTTTGTGGGGTATAATTCTGCATAACACAGGGCTGGAAGTCAACTGAATGGCACTGTTCTAGCAGCAAAATTGCTGTTCATCCTACTTTTAATGAAACATATATAAAACTCAAATGTATGGAAAACTTAGTTTTAAAATGAGAGCATTGCCACTGTATGACACCTAACTGGGTACAATGCAATCAGTCATATCTCCTAGACACATCAATGCACAGGCACACGACTTTGGAAAGCAAAACATTAAATTTCTGCAAAACAATAGATGCTATAATGTCTTACAAGGAAAATGGTCTTTGAAGTATTTCAGGGCTTTATGGGGTAAGACTAAGGTCAAGTTTCCATTGATGTTACTAGAACTTCTGGTTGGGTGAGAAAAAGACAATGGCATCATATGGTCCTTTGCGATTTTCTGTCAGTTGATAAGGACTACCATCTACCATCAGAGTTTAGAAAAACAAAAATGGTCTTATCGAACAGGTGGGTTACGGGGGGTTACAGAGTTTTTGTTGGTTTTCATTTCAGAAGTGGAATAAAATGACTTGCTGCTATTTTGTACTGAGAGGGTGCCTTGGAAAATGTGTGTGTACACTATAAAGAAACATTTAAGTGTATGTGTATTATAAAGACATATTTAAATGTATGTATATGATACAAAGACATCCACGCACACTTGCATAACAATATTCTGGTTTCTGGACAGGAGTATTACAAATTTGGCTGAAAAAAACTGTGCAGGTGTTACGAAGTTACGATGCCTCCTTCAGTAGCAGTTTTTTCTGTATAGGTTAGGACTGTAAGATTCATCCCAGTGAAATCTGTGATCTAAGCCAGTTAGGTTTTTTACAGCATTAAAACTTTACCTGAACTGCCCCAAAAATTTACCAAGAGTCACAGCTCATCTTCACATGGAACCGGGGGTAGGACTCCAGTGCTTTCACCCACGGTTAAGCAAGGTACGGGGTGGGTTGATGCACTTTGTTTCCAGTTTTCACAGGCTCTCCAAGCAAAATTCATGTAACAGACACATAAAATGAAGCATGAGCATATGAGGGGGTTTTAACCCACTCTATGTGGGTGTCCCACATATAAATATGAAAACATTTGCTTATTTATTGGTGATGTGGTGTGAAATGCTCTTTTCATTCTTCCATTTAGCTGGATTTGTTTGCGTCCAGATTCTCCCTGTCATCCTTCAGCTGCTTAAGTGTAGTCAGAAGAGTTAACCTGTTCTTTTAATATAATAAAGTAATCTTAATCCTTGGGTGGAGCAAAAAATAGGTTTCTTTTTTTGGCTTGTGATTGAAATTCTGTTGAATCTGAGAGCACCAACAACACCAAGTTCCTCCTGGGACCCCCCACTCAAACACACACCAGACACACCAAGCTTTTTGCTTACACAGAGGTGTACTCAAAGCAAATGTTCTGCTGTATTTAGGAAAAGTGTGTGTGTGTGCCTGTATATATATGTATAAATATAGAGCTATCTTGAGCTTATTAGCATTGTTACAAAATGTTCACTTTGCATCAGTTTTATTCTAATTGTCATTTGGGTGCTGGAAAATAAAAGCAAAGCAAAAAAAAAAAAAATCCTCTGACAAGGATAACAGACAAATCATGTAGTTTCTCCATTAATGGGGAAAAGAAAATCTTAGCAAGATGTTATATTTGATCAGAGAAATTATGTTTTCATTTAGCTGTCAATCTCCTTTCTGTTGGAGAGGCACAGCACATTATGTTGGGGACTGGTAAACAAACTTGCCTTAATTACTAAAACAAAAAAGGAGGACGGGGCATATTATCCACACTTTTCTGGCAATTTCATCTGTGAGATCCCCAAACTGTAATTGAACTGTCCTGATAGGGATGCACTCCCTGTTGATACTGTTTGGGAGATCCTGCCAGAAAAGAACAAGCCAGAGGGGACTATGCAGCACAGCTGGACCGTTCGAGAGCCCAGTTTTGCCACCCATATGCAGCTAAATCTCTCTTTGATTTCAACCAGGAATGTGCGTGTGGGGTTGGGTCAGATGAGTTGTCTGACCTGATGCATTCGGGACATTTCTACACATGTCTTATGAGGAATCTGGCATGGGAAATTAGATGGCTGTAATCAGCCCATCAGAGGAAAAATACCTGTCTCCACTATTGGTCTTCATAAACATCTATTTACTCAAACTGTCATGTCATTCTCCGCCAAAACTTTTTTTTTTCCCTGCTCTCATTTTCCTCCTCGCTATGTTCATTGTGTACACATCGAGTAGTACTATTTTCTGACATTTTCACATGATTACTTGAACCTTTCTTTTCAGTCGTACTTGAAAAAACAGTGACTGTGCTGCACAGCACAGGCAGTCTCTCAGCTGGCGTAAACCCGCCTGGCTCCATTTTTCAGTGTACATGAGCTGAGATGTCTTTGTTCGGTACTGACCCAACCTGCAGCCGTTTGGACCAAATAGCAGCTGGTCCCGGCGTCTGCTTTCCTGCCCTGTGTGGAGAGGGGTATGGTCAGAATCAGACCACGGGAGCCTAGTTTTAAAATCAGTGCGCTACTTGCGTTCACTTGCTGTTGGTTACACTACTGTTTTTGTAGGTCCTGCCATTTCAAGCCATTCTTTTAAACATACACATGTGTGTATATATGCATATGTGCCTGAGAGGGAATGTACGATCCCATGTGCTGGGCTAAATCTTTCTGTCGTACTGATACAAATCCAGACCGTTTCTGCTCACTTCGATGCCGTTGTTACTAAAGTTTTACCCTGGGATGACGGGGAGCAGATAGTCACTGTGTAGTAAGTATATGCTGTGTTGCAAACAAAATCGAAAATTGTGAAGGTTAACTCTACAATATCAAAAAAGTGGAGTGCCCTGAAAATATCGCTCCAGTGCTGTTAATCCTGAATACAGTATGTGGAGCACTCGGTATTAGCAACTGAACAGGCTATTTGGGGATTTCAGCTATTCAGCTAACACCATTTTAAACCTCTTAACTCTTTTTCAGTGAAGTAAAAGCTAATAGTGTATATGATGTATTTGCCATATCTCAGTGGTAGCTTCTGTGTTACATACAGTCAATGTTGTTCTGAATTGTGTATGTTTACCAAATGATGAGGTTAAAATATGCTGTATAGTATGTGCAATGTATTGATTACGAGTATGTTGGAGTTCAGTGATCTATTTAGTTTTTACTGTGCTGCTGTTTCGTAGGTGTGTGTGTGTATGGGAGTATGAATTGTCTACAGTGTATGAGGAAATAATAATTAATCCTAAAGGAAAAGGGCAGTTATGTAACCTGCCTTAATGCATTTGCATAATCTTGCTTAAATCCCACCATTATCAGTTCTGATTTCAAACATTACTGAGGACGGTCCATAGGGGCTGACTCCCTCGCTTTTTGGCACTAAAGGAGCTAAACGTGAAGTTACTTGGAGCTGATTTACATATTGGTAAATAAAGAATAGGATGTTTGCCTGATCAACTACCTTGATTGTACAAGGCGGCAAAGACATGGTTTCTAGCGTGATACAGATCAAATCACTTCTGTGCACAGACAGCTCCTGCTGACGCCAGCAGGAGTTGTGAACATGTAATTGAACGGCCAAAAATTCATCTTCTGGGATACAATCATGATAGGAGGGTGGTGGTACCTTGGCTTTTGGGAAGTGCCTGGATGCTATGCAATGTTGCTCATGTCCTGTGCTGGAATGTAGATGTAAATTCGCAGGAAGAGCTTTGAACTCTGCTCCAATCTAGATTGGACTGTAAAAGTCCTTATGTAAAAATGATAAATGACAGAGGCTGAGCAGCCTGGCCTGGCCTGCCCACCTACAGCATTCTGCTTTCAGGAGCCTCATCGGCTTTAATTTAAAAAGCTATAATAATTTCCCTGTGGCTGACAGG